GTAAAACGTTTTGCCCAGATGAATGACCCACGAATTATCACAGTTACTATAGGACAGCGTGAATTTCAAAGGAAAGACTTTTTTTTTAGATATGGCGGCCACGACAACAAACTACATCAGTGGAGGTCCAAATTTGTTTTTCATATAATGTTTATTCTAGAGTACAATCTATATAAATATTCCAGCACCTTGATGTTTGGAGGCAAAATTTAGGACGGCCTTGGCCTTAAATTGAAAGAGTATAAAAATGGTAAATTCTAAGTTAAGGAATGAATCAGAGAAAGACGATTCTTCGTCTTGTCACGAGTGTCCGCTTTGTGCTGGAAACAAAATGTTACATTTTTATTACAGAACTTGATACAATTTCTATTTCAGCACAGGAATGTTTCCGATCCCTTCAAGTTTTACCGTTTTTGAACGTCAAAATTACTTCATCGACCTGAGGGATGATTTTGAGATTACAGTTCAATTTAAGCAATGTGCGAAAGTCTGACTCGTGTAAAGATAATGAGTCGACGTCGTATCTTAACCCTTAAACTCCCATGAGTGACCAAGACAGAATATCAATACAATATTAACCAGATAAGTGATGAGAATAAAGAAAAATATCAACTTGGTGATAATTAGTTGATCCAATACTCAGTTCTCAAAACTAACTTTATAAGAATTGTATGGTTGATAGTAAGGAGAATTACAAATTTAGTCTGGGAGTTAAAGGGTTAAAAATAAATACATGGTGAGTTGAACGCTTGCAAATATTCTCAAAATTAACGACAAAGACAATGCAGAATAGTCAACGTGTTTCATCACTTTTAACCCTTTAACTTCCAAGATCTTATTTGTAATTCTCCTTACTGTCTACCATACAACTCTTATGATGTCAATTTGGAGAATTTGGTATTGGATCAACTAACAATCCCCGCATTGATATTTTTCTTTATTCTCATCAATTCTATGCTTGATACTGTATTAATATTGTAAGGAGAAATGATCTCTTGGTCAATCGTAGGAGATAAAAGGTTGAATTATTGACCTTTTTTCAAATAGTAATGGAACGCATCACTTCGGATGCTAAGCACTGACGCCAATTTCAAATCACCAGCCCAGCGTTGCATGGACGGAGTTACCGTAGACAAATCAGATTCTTCTCAAGCGCTTACTAATCTGTTTTTAAGAGTCTGTAGTCTCTTCTAATCTATTGTGCACATAACTTTACCACCAAGAAAGTGACATTAGATTTTGAATCCTGATTAAGATTACTGAGATTACTGTTTTCCCTTAAAATCTAACGATTTTTCGGTTTTGGTCTTTTTCGTTGTTGTTGTTGTTGTTTTTCTATCAATTTTTGATTTTATGAGAGATCTTAGCGGCCTCACTCTCCAGATCGAATGGGATTGTTATCTTCAGAATTCTAGCGTTTTTCTCTAGCGACATATTGATCTGATTTTCGCAAGGGACCTTGAGCCCATTATTTTCTCTTAGTTTTTACGAGTGGAAATTTCGGCCAATTTTTCGGTTTTTAACAGGCCCCAAATGTGCGGGCAAATAACAAGTAACGTTTGAAGTCGGCCGTTATGCCGATGTAAAGAAAATACAAAGGTTAGGATTGTACCAAAAACATTGTTGTTCAAAGATAACTATTCCGCTAACCTGGTATCCTTCCGAAAGTTTTCCTGTTTTTGATAGCCTCTTCACTCGACCAATCAAAGCAAAACAAAAGAGAATAAATATGCAGGTTATCTAATTTTCTGTTTTGGATCAAATAAGATCATAACAACGTAAAGCTAAGCTTGTTTCAAGGTCAACTTACCTGATCTGTTCTGGTGAATTTGGCGGTCTGACCCAACTCATCAACGAGGTGCAGTAATAAAACCAAGTCACAGTAGGCCTGATAAAATGTGCTGGAATATGCAGCTCCCTATTGGCTGTCGATATTGTGTTTACTTTTTTAATTACCGTTTTTTTAAGAAAATAACATCCTTTTTTCTTTCCGGCATGAGACCAATTTATGATCATATCTGTTCAGTTACCGCTCCCCATAACTCCAACATGAAGGCAAATATTGTAAAATTTATTACACTCATTTCATATATTGTAACCTCGCTTTTGAGGAGGAGATCGTCGCACTTTTAAGATTTCCCTTATGAAAGTTAAAGCCCCCTTTTTTTTTCTCTATGAAATCTCTCGGTTTCTCTTATGGAGCCCCATTTTTCTGCTTAGGTGCAATCTACTTTTAATTGTCTTCGTATGGGTTTCTCTTCACTGATTGATTAAATTTGACCAGTTTCAAATAATGTAGACATAACCATGTGCGCATCGACGTTTTCGTTCGCCGCGAAAATTCCATCTGAGGAGGTCGAAGATGTGAATTTTAAATCAAATTCAACTTAACCTAAAATTTAATAAGTGTCAATTTGCAAACGGCGATTTTAAGACGACACCACCAGCTGTGTTAACGTACAAATGAATTGCCGACGAAAAAGTGTAAAAACCTTTTGAAAAAGTTTCGTTAGAGCATAAAACTTAAGATACAAATCAATGGAATTATAATACACGCGAGGAAGGCTTAAATCTAAATACGTTAAAAATAAACTTCAGATGAGAACAGAATGCTTGACTGAGAATTTACAAGCAACCAAATAGTTTCCAGAAAGTTCCAAAACGTTGCCGAGACGTTGCCTTGCAACTCATTCCTAGAGGTTTCTTTTTTTATGATAATTCAGTCTTCAATTCAATCGGCATCAATTGAGGAGGGTACCGGAAAGATGAGAGAGGTTTTTGAGTGATTTGTGTACTTTTTTTCGCATATCAGATACTGATATTTCCTCAATTATAGAACACCACTGAAGCTCATAGTTATGGTGTAAAAATAGTGTCAAAAAAAAAACCAAAAAAACAAAACCAAAAAACTCTCAGTGAAAAGAAAAACGCTACGTTGATAAACAAGGTTGCCATATCAACATTGTTACCTTCATGTGAGAAGATGTAAATGATTTATTCACTGCGCAAGGTGAGGATATCATGTTTAGATACAGGTCAGAGAAATTCTGGCTTTTCGTGAAAATCAGTATTAGTAATAATACAAATTAAGGAAAGGTAAAGAATGTATCGTGATTTTTTTACTGGCGACGGAAGAATTATGGTATCGACACTTCGAGAGTTTGAAATTACTCAAATCATGGTAGCTTCCTCCTTACCTAATGTATTTTTTAAAAAAAAGATGTCTCTCGGAGTTCTATGAAAGTCTCCCTCTTCGCTTTTAATGAACCAAATTTAAGGAAAAATTCTCAGTCGCTCAAGAAGTTTCAAACCTGAGACAGCCCTTGTCAACACGAGGTCGAAAACTCTTATCAAAATTTTGATTTACTGTTGTCTCAATCCTGCGGCAAATTTTACAAAATTTACTATTAGACTTCTTAGCATTGAAAATCGCTTGGCGCTTCACCGTTCAAGAGTATCCACGAGTTTAAAAAGAAAAATGCTTAAACGTAGATGTTGCACTTAGGCAATAGGTAATTGTTAAATAGACTTTTGATTGATAAACACAATTTTCAAAGAACTGCATGCTGTAAAATAATGAGCTCAACCTGTAAATAGGTCGCGTTTTGGTACAGCTATTCAGAGATGATAACTGTAAAGGAATATACTATAACGACAACACAGGTGTCGTGAAAAAAGTTAATATCTCAGTGCTGAGATATTACATAATTGTTTGACTTCAGACGTTCGCTATACCTGTGTTCATAGTTAAAATGGGGAATTTATCGCGATAGAAGTAGTTGGGAACGTGAAAGAGAAGGGAAAAAGTTGCAAAAGGACTTAGCCGCTATTTGTTCGAACCGTTTGAGAAAACGGAAGTTCATGACAGGCAGGAGCTTTTAAATTAAGGTAAGAATATCAGTGCGTCTTACGTACATCTGATAATACCACTATTTATCCCTGAGGATTAATACAACGAGAACGAACGACAAATGACGTATCCAGCGCAGGTAAAGATGTACACTGTGAAGAATCTTTGTTTCCACTCAAATTCTTAAACATAGATTACCAGATCTGTATTCAGTGTTCTAGACGTACAGGAAAAAAAATCGTATCTCACAGGAGGAGTACCAGCGAGTCGCGAATGGTTTCAGTTCTGCATTTCGTCGAAGAATAGAGTGGCACGAGACCCCTTATTAATCATCGGGCGCATCAATGTAAACCTGTTCAAAGCGGGTTCAAAGTGCATTCTAAAAACACGTTCAAAATGCGTTCAAAAATACAATTTCAGTAAGAATTTTGCGAATGGCTGTATGTATTTATTGTCTCTTATGGCGCCACGCCTCAATTTCAGCATATCAAGTGTGAACTTTAATGATTTGCCGTCGAGGTTTCCGTTCACAGGACGCGCAAATGTTGGTGTTTTCACGTTGTTATTCTGCAGAGGATAAATAAGAAATGTACAAAATTCTAAAACGCACGTGCTAAGATATTGTTTCACCCATTGGATCTTTAATTTGGCCAACTTCTCATCGTCGTCTTGGTTTGCTTAAGGTCCCTTTGCCTACATCACTTGAAACTGATTAAATTTAATCAATCGGTGAAGACAAACCCATGCGAAGACAGTTAAAAAATAGAATGTACTTCAGCAAAGAAATGAGGTTCTAGTGATAAGAGAAATAGAGAGTGTCATGCACGAAAAACGGGGCTTTTATGAGCGTCGAATTTTCATTCGTTAATTGTGGAGAAAGTTAAGTGTAAAAATTTTCCTCTCCTAGCCGTAAAATCCATTGCCTCATAGAGACCTACTCTTTACCTCGAATTGTTTTGAGAGGGAACAAGGTTCTTAGCTTCCACCCACCCACACCTACAAAAAGCGTAGATTTCGGACCGCAATAACTGATCTCAGGCGTCACGACAAAAACTGAAAATCGCAACACCATCGCCCTCGTAAAGGTAAGCATTTGTACAAAGTATTCCAAACTTTGCTAATATTTTTTCTATAATACAAAATAGGTATCATGGCTTCCATACTCTGTTATATAACGCTTTTGTTGTTCACTGTTGCCTTAAGTGAGGAGTGTCCGTGTCTACCCCCACCACTACCGGAAGACTGGGAGGGAGACGTTTATGAGTACTGGAACAAGTTTCGTTTATGCGCCGCAGACTACAGTGAGATTCTACTTTGAAATCATTTAGTTTCAATCAAAATCATTCACTCGGTCAGTTTGGCATTAATCTGATCTCCATTTCGCAGAGGAGGAGCATGCTCCAAAAAAATAAAAAAAGAATTTTGTCGCAGCCATTAAAAAAGCTTTTGTAAATTTTAAAGAGTAACCTGGCAATTCGCGTACGCACCATTTTACAACTTTCTTAGTGGTCTGTCCACTTCCTTGCGGCATAAAAACTCCCTTTACTCTCCCATTGTTTGCATTTTAATTCGAGCCACATAAACAACCCATGCTACCGACAATCACTAATGGTCAACTGTTTGTAGAACACTACTTTCCCGTGTTGTTTTGTGCGCTCAAAGTCTTCGCTCCTCGCGCATCACCACGACGCACCACGTGGCTGCGATTTTGAAAAGTCACTTTCTGTACAACATTTTTATTGCGGTACTTTTAATTTCTTTTCAATAGCTATCAAAGCCAAAATTTTGAAGAGGTCCCAACCAAAGATATCCGATGAAGACGACCCTCTGTCGGTTGGCACAGTGGTCTACATAATTAAAGTTTTGAGAACCTTTAAAGGAACGTTTGATGAAAAAGAAATTGTTGAACTCAAAACCCCAACCGATGGAATTGAAGATTTCTGTAAGGTGAAGCTTAACGTCAAAGAAACTTATCTCCTGACGGGTAAAAAAGGCGAAGGTCAGCTGGAAATCTGGCAGTGTGACTGGCACGAGCTTTGGAAAGATGATACGAGGAAAAAAATCCGCGAAGCCCAGAAGAAATGTTGATTATTGTTATTTTAAGTTAAGTTCGCTCGATCGGTTGCAGGCGAATAGTGGAAGATATTCAATTTAAGCAAGTTCAATAGCTCTTGACCTGGTTTTTTTTAACCATTTATTTTATCAGATGGTGGGAATAAAGCGTGCATAACTCGTAAAGGCTCGTCATCGTTTCTTGGGTTGGAATGGGGGAGGGGGCGAGGGTAGGGGGGAGGGGGTGAGGTTAAGGGAGAGGGGGTAAGTGTAAGGGTAAGGGGGCAGAGAGATTATCTTATGCGAAAAATGACGTCATCCTGAATGTAAAAGAGTTTGACGCTTTTCATTGGGTAATCTATCTGCCTGTGAAACCAACTGGTGGAAATGTTTTAAGGTCACCTATTCTAAATTTATCGTCTCTTTCGGCACCACATAACGCACATAACACAAGATAAGCGTAGGAAACCACGACGCGAAGCGGAGTGGTTTCCAGCTTATCGAGTGTTCTCCCAACCTCCCAAGTGTTTACATCAGGCTATGTAAATACGGAAACCATTTTACATTTCTTTTATAAAATAACTAATGAAAGAGGAACGAAAACCGTGTTTACATACGCTCATGTAAAATGGTTTTATGGCCAATCAGAGCGCGCGTACTATTTGAATTATTTTATAAAATGTAATTCAGTCAAGTTGTTAGCAAATAAACGGCCACAATTGTTGCCAAGTTATGGCAAAAGCTATTTCCAGCAAACAAGAATAAGCCTGTGAGTTTAGACGAGCGAGAAACATAAAAACCATTTATATCTTCAAATAATAACGTGGTCGTCACAATAACCAGGTTTATCAAGGTGGTGGTTTCACTTTTGACGAAGGGTTTTCTTTTTACTATTCACTCCCCCTCCCACCCCCCTCAGTCATTGTTGCTGATTGAACTGGGAGACTCAATTAACATGAGAGGAGAGCTTTGGACATAAGATGCTTGGTAACGTCTCGGAAACGTTTTAGGAACTTACTTGCAATTATTTGGTTGCTTGTAAATCCCCAAGAAGCAGTTTTTTTGCTCTTCGGAGATACAGTTTTAACTTAATGAAAAATTAGCTTTTCTCGTGTGTATGATGTTTCCAATGATTTATGTTTTAAGTTTTGTGTTTTAAAGAAACTTTTTCTGACGATTTTTACGCTTTTTATTGGGCAATTTATCTGCACGTCAACACAGCTTGCGGTAATATTTCAAAACCGCCCTTTCAAATTCAAGTTAGTAATTATTAAATTAAAATTTGGTTTTACATTTTAGACTTGCAGACTTGCCTGTGATAAAGTTTTTGCGAAAAAAAGCAAGGAAGGACCTTAGGCAGGCAGGCAGAACGGTAGTGCTGAGGAAAATGTCCATTAAAAAAAATTAATTTATATCTTAAGTTAACATTTTGCGAATGGCTGAATGTATCTATCGTCTCTTGCGGCATCCCTCTCAACTTCAGCATAACGCATGTGAGTTCGTTGAGTTCTTTAAAACTTTAAATAGCTTGCCGTCGAGGTTTTCGTTCTCAGACTGTAATTTTTGCTGATTTTGCCGGGAACGGTTAAGAAATGTACAAAGTCTTAAAACGCACGCGCTAATTGCTGTTCTATTCATTAGCTCTTGGCCGCGTCCTCATTTCTTTCGCAGTTTTCATTTGCTTGAGGTCCTTATTGTCTTAACTGCTTGGAACTGATTAAATTTAATCAAACAGTGAAGATAAACCCATGCAAAGACAATTAAAAGTAGAATGCACCTTAGGAGAAAAATGAGGTTACACTAATAAGAGAAACAGAAAGAGGTCACGGAAAAAGGGCCATAGATTTCAAAATGACAATTTCTAAGGAAGATGATCCCTTATGGACGTGGTGCCTTCAGTGGGAGGAATGAGAAATGGCAACTGCAAAATATGAATGAGTCTTATGCTAGAAAAAAAAAACAACAATTATTTAAAAGATATTATTTTCTATTAAAAACAGTAATTGAAAAAGTAAGCGTATAATTGAAAGCCAATAGGGAGCCGCATATTCCACAGAATTTCATCAGGTCTACTGTGACCTGGTTTTATTACCGCATCTGACATACGCCTTCGCCATCAGTTGAGTCAGGCCGCCAGATCGATCAGAACACATCAGGTAGGTTCACCTTAAAAACAAACTTAGGTTTGAGTTTGATTCATTCTAATTTGGTCTAAAAAGGAAAATTAGATAACCTGCATATCTATTCTCTTTTGTTCTGGTTTACAATGAATATGAAAGCGATCTTCGCAGTAGTGAACACTACTGAGACAACAAGGCAACTGGGTGTTGGTAGAGCACTGTACCGGTATCGCAGAGGTTATGGGTTCAAATCCCGTACAGGCCTGAATTTTTTTCAGGTCTAATTTTGATTACTTTCGTTGTCGTAAGCATTCAACTCATCGAGTATTTCTATGTACAATACAAACTCGAATCATTATCTTTCCATTAGTCAGAATTTTGTACAAAGCTTAACTTGAACTGTATTCTAAAAATCAGTGAAATTTGAGGGGATCGGACAAAAACTACTGCTCCAACATTCCTGTGCTTAAATAGACATTGTATCAAGTACTACACACCTTAAAAGAGCAACATTGTGATTCCAGCACAAATCGGACACTCGTTACAAGTGAAAGAAATATCTTAAAATTAAAATTAACCATCTTTCTTGTTCTAGTTAAGAGCAAGGTGATCCTTAATTTTTCCTCCGAAAATTCAGATGCTGGAATATTCACATAGATTGTACTCTCGAATAAACACATTATGTAGAACTAATTTGGACTTCCACAGTTCCAAACGACCGTTGTCATGGCTGCCATATTTGAGAAAACAGGCTTTCCTTCAAAGATAGTGCTGTTGTCACAATGATTGTAACAACTCGTGGGTTATTCATTTGAACGCCTTTGTGACTGAAGAAACGTTTGGTTTTGCCGGAACTGTTTCGTCCATTTTATGTCCTAAACGAAACAAAACATCTTAAACGAAGCGGATATCTAAGAGACGAGATCCCTTTTCTTGCTTGGAAAAAAGAAAAAAAAAGAAAAACTAATAATTAGTTTCTTCGCGGGAGTAAAATGATTTTTTTGAGATAAAACGTCGGTAGAATATTGACAAGTCGTTATTTGACAACAAGCTCAGTCAAACAGCAATTAGTAATGTTGTTACTCTTACCACTGTCGTTATAATCATTATTTACGGGAAAAGGAAGAAATTGTTGTTGTTTTTTTTTCCCATAATACGAGGCAGTTATCATGGCTTCCGTAATCTTTTATATGACGCTGTTGTTGTGCGCTGTAGCCTTAAGTGAGGGGTGCTCATGCAAAGTTCCTACGATACCACCAACCGCAGGCTGGAAAGGAAATGTTTTTGGATACTGGAACATGCAACGGTTTTGCGATGCAGACTTTGGTGAGATAATTTTTCAAAATGTTTAGTTCAAATCTACCTCATTGATTTGGTCGGCTTGGCAATACTCTATTTTACTTTTCAACGAGGAGGAGCATGGTCCATAAACCATAAAATCCTTATCGTACCCATTAAAAAAAGGTTTTTTGGACGCAATCATGATGAAACTTATTTAGTAGCCTAACCGCTTATATTTTTATTGTTCTCAAATTTTCATCGCCACCTTAATTTCAAGTTGTTTTCGAAGTCTTCGTTGACTTTGTCAAGCCTTTTATTTACTATTAATTTCCCTAAAACAGCTATCAGAGCCAAGGTTTTGAGAGGTTTTCGACCAGAGATTTCTGAAAGTGATGACCCTTGGTCAGTTGGCCCTGCAAGCTACACAGTTAAAGTTTTGAAAACCTTCAAAGGATCATTGCACGAAAACGAAATAACTCGGTTAGAAACTCCAGCCAATGAAGGACTCTGTGGTGTTCACCTTAGCGTTAACGGCGAGTACCTCCTCACCGGTGGAAAAAACTTTGGGCCGTTTGATATCATGTTGTGTGATTGGTTCGAGCCTTGGAGTAAAAAAACGTTCAAACAAATCCGCAAGTTCAGTAAGAAATGTTAGTCATTGTTACTGTTCGTTAAGTTCGCACGATCGGTTGTAAGCGAATACTGGGAGATATTATATTCTAGAATGGTTCATTAGCTCTTTGACGCGGTTTGTAAAACCCTTTATTTTATCGGATGTTGGGAATAAAGAAAGTACAACACTGTAATGACGTCTCCTTAGAAGCGGGGGAATAACCCATGTGAAAACGTGTGGGAACTATCTATGCTTAAAACTACTTTAATTTAATCTACCAGAGAAGACAAACCCACTCAAAGACAACTAAAAGTAGAATGCATCTCTGAAGAAAAATGAGGTTCCACTGATAAGAGAAACAGAAAGATATCACGAAAATAGAGGCCTTTGAAAAACTTTCTAAACAATAATCTCTCCACTAGTAAGACAATAAATTCTCACGGAATTATTATACAACCTCAAAGAATTTGGATCTCTGTACTCATTGATATTTTTCTTTCTCCTTATCGCATTTATATTCTGAAAATGGATTAGTTCCGTGGTTTCTGATTTTGTTGTTGTTGATACTTTGCTTTCTCATTCATTCGTCATGACAGGAAACAATTTTCTTTGGTGTTTATTTAACATTTCAAGACCCATCCTTCATTATCCGTCGCTTCTCCTTTCTCAGACTGTTGTAATTCTTACTCAAACTTTGGATTTTGCTGATATCTCTCGGTATCTCTATTGATAAACCCTAAATTGCATCTTGTTGTGAGATCTAGTGAGTTCCACTTCATGAAGATATCTCCGTCTTGTCAACGACCTTTCTTGGGTCACGTGAGTGTAAAATGGCGGCCTAGAGAGTTGCATTAATTTCATCATAGTTATGTTTTTATCATAACAACTAAATGAAAATCCAGAGAACATTCGAAATTAGTCCAAACGCTCAGACTGAACCACATTCGCCTCAGTTTACTGACCTCTCAAATCATGACTCAGCAGCAGAATCGAAACCAAACGGCGTGATCTCAACACTTGAA